CCCAGCCCCCGTCCGCTTTTATCAAGGTGAAAGTGTTTTGAAGGAACGTCACCGCGCCAACCCGTCGCGTCCTTCCGCATAATTCCCCCCGCGTGTACCGAAAGCGTGGCACTTCCCTCTCTCTCTACCAGGGGCGAGCTAAACACGAGAAAGAGTAGAGAGAGAGAGAGAGAGAGAGAGAGAGAGAGAGAGAGAGAGAGAGAGAGAGAGAGAAGGAGAGGGGGTGTGCGTGTGTGTGGCTGAGAGGGAGTGAGAGTGAGAGAGAGAGAGAGAAGCAACAGCAGCTCGACTAGGATGTAAGGGTTGGCGGACTCGGCCCCCGCAGTATATCATCCCTGCGACGTTACCTATTTCAACAGCGGCGCTCGCTGTACAACTGGGTCCGGGCGTGCTGTGCTCCTCGGCGCCGCCTCCCCGGCTGCACTGTCCGGCCCTTGTCCCGCGCTGTGCTTGCACGCCACGCCATAGTACACCGCCCGCCCCCGCCCCCGCCCGCCCCTGCCACGGGGTGTCGCCGGGGCCGTCAGCGCGGGGTGGTAACTGGCGCGGCGGCTGCCCTCACAGTGCGACCGCCTGCTCAGCCCGCCCGCGGTCCGCTCTGTTTTTGTTGTGCGGTGGTGGTGGGCGTTGGGTGTGTGTGTGTGTGGTGTTCTGGCGGTGGTGTTCTGGGAGCGGCCAGAGGGCGTCCCTCACAACACGGCCGGCCTGTTATTGCTGCCCAGCCCGCTGACCACAGGAGTTCACATGGTCATGGTGTGCGGAGGAGCCGCCCGACCGCCTGTTCTACTCGCCCGCCTCGAAATTGCGTGGTCGTGTAAGTTGCTATGGTCCCGGTCCTCCCGCCGGACCCCCGCCGGACCCCCCCCTCTCTGCCGGAGACTCTCCCGCCTGCCGGGCATAGGCAAACCCTCGCGGCGGCCGCGCCGTCACCGACAAAACTTAATATAAAATGGAGCCGAAATTTGCATCATCACGCCATCTAAATGGGGGTGTTTAGTGAAATGAAAGTCGCGCGGCGAGGGACGGCGGCGAAAAGGGTTGCTGCTGCTGCTGCTGCTGCTGCTGCTGCTGCTGCTGTGCCACCCCCCCCTCGCCCACTAAACTTCCGCCAACAAAAACAGTTGCATCCGCAGTTTCCGAGATGCCGTCGGATTACAGGGTGGACGCGGCGGTTCCTCCCCCGGCGCGTCTTCCCTATCGCCGCCCCCGCGGCTACGTTGCTTCGCGGTGATTTTCTCACGATCGCGCGCAGCTTAACTATCGGTCCCGAACAACTAACTGCACTCTGGAAGGGGCCAGCACGACGGCACGACAGCACTTGTTTCGTCTCTGTCTCCCCGGCCGCTGGCGACGTGGCGGCGCCTTGCCCTGCCCTCGCCTCTTGCCCCGGCTCTCTGGGTCGTCGAGGCGATCGCGTGACACCTCGCCGTGCTTGTCACGCACTCAGTCACGCAGTCACGCGCGCAGAGCTAACCGACCGTCGTTGTCGCGCCGCGCGCG